CGTTGCCTTAGAATTCGTTATTTATAATTACATAGGAGCGGGTCTCGCAGCCATGGAGGCAGACATATTTGCGCTACGGCAAGCGCAGAGCCAACAAACTAGCGATTGCGAGATCGCCCATTACGCGTATATTTATTATGTTAAGTCTACATGAAATCTATACCCTACACAGACTAATGAAATACTATCTGTAAAATTATCTATGTAAACAAACCTCATCACTTGAGAAGGTAGGTGATGCGGACGTCGTGGAAGACATTTTGTCCCGTAACGCTCGCCGTACTGTTGGGGGGGAGAAGCGGTGGGGGGGAGATGTTCATGTTGCTGCGGTCTGCAGTCTGGACGTTAGATGTCGCTGAAAATTACACACTTAAGCTTTAAAGGCAAAAACACAGTTAGGATTCCTCCTCTAAGTAATGTATTATAGACCTCTTTCAAATTGCAACAGCTTCTTTATATGGTAGGCTACAGGTCCCTTATAATGCAAAATTCACCTCATCAACATTTTATAACAGTCATATGTATCCTGAAAACAGAGTATGAGATTTACAAATAAAGAAAAAAACGTTCCCTTCAACCACTGCCTTTCTCCACCTCTTAGCGGAAATAAGCTGTCCAGAGTGAGAGAGTCTGTAGGAGCCCATCATTTAAGCTCCAGCCATCATCTTAGGTATTATCCCATGCTCCTATGTTATCTTTACAAACTCTGACTGGGTTTCATGGTTGCGGATTGTGGGGATGTGGTCTTCAGGGGGACAGGGGCATGGAAAGTTAAAATAGCTCATTCAGAGGAGGGCTGAATACAAGGATAGTTGGTAAAGGCTGCCTTCCTAATCTGAGAAACAATTTCCTGCACAAACAGCAAAACCATCCTTGTTAATATTTTTTATTATCAAATGTACAATAATGTGGGACCTATAAAGGCTGCAATTGTCATGATTTGTTTGGAGGTTTTTATGAGAACCCAAATGCAGAGGCTGACAGGCGGGGGTGAGTTCTTCAAAGGTTTACTGAAAGAACAGGCAGCAAAAAAGGAATCCAAAAATCAACCTTAAAAATGTTAAACAGAAACAGGTTTCCAAAAATCCAACATAAAAAATCAAACACAAACCAGAACCATAGAGACATCAGGGGAAAACCATCAAGGAGCCAGGGTGAGAAAAAGTAAGACGAGGAACATGCAAAGAGGTACTGCAGGTGGAGTGTATTTATGGCCCCGTCCACACAAAGTCAAAACGAACACGAAACGCTGATATTTTCCAGAACGTTTGAAGTAAAGACAGGGACGTAAAATAAATGTGATCGTCCACACGAATGCGTGCTAACGCTGCAAAATGTAGGCCAGGCCTGTAAGTGGCGCTGTCGTGCCAAAGCAAAAATAGGCGACGAAATGTTGGGCATGCGCACTAATATTTATACATGGTTGCCCTGCGGGTCCATTTTCGTGGTTCAGTCAAATTCAGGTGCTGAACTATGTGGTCGATATTGCTCTGTTCTTCCTGGAGATATTCCAGAAGAAGAAGATTCTGTTGTAAGCCCGACAGCAGGGTGAGTAGCATGAGCAGCAACCATTCAACACAGTACGGCGCCATTGTTGTTGTGATACTGTGTCGTGCATGCGTGTTTAGAGGCAACGCTATGACACATGCGTGTAAAAAAAAAATTGCGGTTAGAGCTTAAAGATGGAAACGCGAAAACGGCGTTTCAAAATCTTCCCACTCTGAAGGCTTAACAAAAAAAAGATAATTTACAGACCCCCGAAACGCCGGCTTCGTATGGATGAGAGGCTGGTTTGGTGAAAAATTTGTGCGTTTAGGCCAGGGTTTGACTTCGTCTGGACGGTTTCTAAGGCTGACTGAACAAAGGGCAGGACTAACGAGCTGATAAGGAGAAGGTTTGACTAGAGCTGATGAGGAAGCCAAGGGAAAAGAAAACACAAGGGGGCAACAGAGGACAGACAAAGAAAAACGTAAGAAACTTAAATGAATCTAGAACTCACCAATAAAGCTAGAAAACAAGGAAAAACCTGGATGAACTTGAAACTGAAAACCAACAGAACCAAGATCATTACAGCAATAAGAGATGTGAAAAGAAGTTGAGAGCATGAGAATCAGAAAAATTACCAAAAACCCAACAGTTTTATTACTACATGTCTTAGTTTGTTGGTTTGAAGGTCATGAAAGAACAATAAAACAAAAAAAAACAACATTTTACCAATATGGTTGCTTGAAAGGCTTGAAACAGAAAGCCTCCCATCAGTCAAAATCAGATGCAGGGCTAATGTTTACAAGCTTAATCTAAATGAAGAACAAAACTTCTAGAGGAATGCATCTACACAGAAAAGACAAAAGAAGAGCGGTTTGACATTCTTGAGCAAAGCCATGCTTGTACGAAACAAAACACAATATTTTATATTATTTGTTAGTCTTTATGCAGGCAGCTTTATTAAGACACAAATTTAAAAGAGAGACCCGAGTGCGCATGTGCGCCCAAAACCATCAGGCCTGGAAGTGGAAGGCTGGTGATGTTACATTTTTCTACTACCGCAGGGACCTTACCATATTTTAGTCTTTACGATGATAATTAATACTAAAACTGTAAGAGCACTGATCCATAACACATTTGCAAAACAAAATGACAAATAAAGATTCAAAGTGCTGAAATGGCCTAAGAAAAGTCCAAGCTTCAAACTGATGTGGATATCCTAATAATGGGTTCAACCACATGCAAATTTTCTGCTTCTATTCAGAAACATAAAAAGTGTTTGTTAGGTTGTGAACACAATCACTCCTACTCCCTTTATCAGCTGAGTTATATTGGGATCGAGCACCTGTTCACACACATCTCCCTTTCTTCTGTAGGACCTCTTTGGTGTGTCACTGCCCCTGTTCACACTCACCCCTGAAAAAAAAAATACAGACAGAGCAAGGCTGTTCCTAATAATAACCAGGTTAACACACACTTATTCACATTCCTGCTGCCGTGCTGATAGGGGCCTTAAACATACTGATGATCGAGCTTTGGAGGCCAGTTATTCTGGCTTCACATCTGCTTTCATTCCAGCTCATGTTTGCTCATGTTTGTCACTGCTCACATGCCGAGCCTTTGTGTTCTACTAATGGTTCAGAATAAATGGCATGAAGCTAAACATAACCAGTTCACTGTGACCTTCTACCGTGATATCTGCTGTTGTAAAGAGTCCATCATCCCTCCCAAATAAAGAGTAATGTGATCAGTTCTTCAGGATCTGGACAGTTCCACAGCTGTAATTTTGATGGTTATAAGGGTAATGCAGAACGTAGATATTTGAGTTTTCCAGCTAGTCCTTTGTTGAACAGACTTCCTGTTTTAGTTCATGAAAAACACTGACTAATTTTAAGTCAGAGTGGCTCAGGTCATCCTGAGGTATCTCTGTAGATATGCTGCTAAAGGCTTAGGCTGCCGGAGGACATAAAGGCCCCTTTTCTCCCCGTGCTGTTTACTCCACTGCTTCCACATTTATCAGGCAAATCATATCACATGCATATGTTTTCAACTCAGATACCCCCAGATCAAATTAATTAGAACCAAATTCTCTATGACTAAAAATCAGTTTTTTGTTTTTTTTTATAAATTGCCGGCTGTGTACAGCTTAATCCGAGTCTAACTACACCAGTTCCAAACAAAAACTCAACAGGTAGGTCAAGAAGAAAGTTTTAGAGAGGGTAAAATTAGGGCTGGGTGCCAGATGTCCTTGGTTAGAGTTACAGGTATCCATAGATAGCTGCAGATTGGCCTTGGACAATCTGTCCAAAGAGCCATCACTGATGGGACGCTCCATACATTTGGCTTTTATTTTTCTCTGAAGCTACAGTCAAAACCCACTTGTTTAGAACTGTTGTGGTCTGGGTGTTTTATTTGCTTTACCACCTGCTTTTACCATGTTTTAAACTTTACTTGCTTTTATTTTACCAATTAATTCATATAAAGCACCACTTCTTATCCAAAATAAACTTACCTTGTCATGCCTGGCTTTTATCAAAGAATGGCAAGATGAAAGTTATAATATATCCCTTTACAGTTTGTAGTAAGCAATGGCACTTCAAGAAAATATTTGCCGGGGAGACAGTGTGTGGGGGGCCGTGTCTTTTCGTGGGGTTCAAACATAAGAATAATATGCATACACAGAAAAAAAAAATAGGACAAGAGTGCATTGTTTATTATAGTGAGCCACAAAGTCAAGGTTGCTCACTTTTTATCTAATAAAACTATGATGTAAATTGTCTTGGCAAAATATTGAATCGGTTCAAAGGACAAACTAGTTACTGTCTTTTTTAAACAGTTTCTTTCTTTATTAAACTTTACGTTTGATCACTGCTGTGCTTTAAGAAATGGAAATGCCATGAAAGCTCTACAAAATAAAATTTTGTTTTGTACACTGTCTGTGTATACAAAATGACAATAAAAGTTTTCAAAGTCTTCATCATAAGAAATTGATTGTGTTACACTGCAAAAACCAATCCAAACAAGTGACAATATTCTTAAAATGAGTGTCTTTGACCTTAAAATAAACAGGTAAATAAGATGATCTGCCAAAAGAATCAGTATTTCTGCTCTTAACATATATATAAACGGTATGTATATATATATATATATAGTGCTATTGAAATAAGATTTCTCTAAAGTAGTGATAGGAAAATCTGGTAAGAAATGCTCTCAACAGGAGTCCATATTCAGAATGATCCACATCTTTATGCAAATATATTACATAAAATTCCACAAAACTTTTTGTAAATGTATCCTATTCAATGTGACCATTCAGTGTCTGAGGTAAAGAAAATCAAATGAATTCTAGTTTCTGCATTGAGTTGATTCTGCCACTAGATGGCGCTGGATGCACAAACACGCAAGCTCCGCTTGCAGATTCACCTCTGAATATGGAATAAGGCTCCTTTAATCTGAGCTCTGCATATTTTACAGAGAAAAGCATTGATGAGGAAATCTGCTGCGCTGCTGATCAGCAGCCTCTCTATGTAGGATGAGGGACACTGGGTGTTTCAGTTGGGTTAGATTTTGTTCTTCTGTTTTCATTAGTATTATTGTTTGCTAAATTAAAAAAGACTCAGCCGCCTAAACAGATAAGAAGAGTCATCCAGTTGGAAACACTAACTGCCTTATTTCCTGCAACAATCAGCCCCACTGTTTCTAATTGGCTGTGGTGGCGCCCCCTCCTTCTCCTCCTCCCCCTCTCCGGTTTATTGTCACTGACAGTTGGATTATTCCCTCAGAGCAGCAGCAGCCTCCTTCCTCTCCACAGAACATGCGGACTCTAAGTAAGGATTTATAATTTCCCGCAGCATCTCGGTTCCCTGCACGGTAAGAGAAAGCGTCTTTCTGTTGGCTGCGCTCACATGTGTGCGTCCTGTGTGCGCCTGGCTGCTGATCCATGTGCGCAGAGGTGACTGAGTTCTGTTGCCGTTGCTGGTTCTGGTGATTCTGAGAGGCACTGGAGTTAAACTTCTGAGCCCCCCTCCTGAGCTGGAGTGGATATAGAAGCTGGAATGAGTCTGTGCGCTGTTTGGAGCCGCGGTTGGAAGCAATATTAGAGCCCAGTGTTATCCTCAGGACCAGCACCCCCGGCTGTTGCGCTTGGCGCTCCTGGAGAACAGTCTGAATATAATTATTTCTTCCTCATTTTGAGACACCGCCAGTGGGGTTCAGGGTAAGAAAGGGATACTCACCTGAGAGATCCCAGTTTAAAGTCAATTCCCTGCCTGCAAAAGGAAGCAGAGTTTTAAGGAGAATTACCCCCCCTATAGGGGGTCTCCCAGTTGAGGGCTCAGAAAATAACCAACATTATCTGCAATAATTAAGCACTCATTTCCTTTTTCAGAGGTTGTATTCTACAAGGAGCAACTAGTGTGGTTTAATTTGTTTATTTCTCTGTTGGATAATGTTGGGGGAAAAAGACTTAAGTGATTTCCTTTCAGTCTCTCTTTGAAAGATAGGTTGTAGATCTACTGATGAATAATTGACCCAAAGCATGTCTGCAGAGCAACTTACTGTCCGTTTGAAATACTATTACTGTTTGGATGTAATTTAATGAATTTATGTCTAAGAATGAACAATTTGTTTATTAAAATTGGCATCACTATATTAGTATGTGCAATACTCAAAGGTTGGCTGGAGCAAAGATTATTTACTTATGTAGTCTACTCTACATAAAGTGTAAACTGAGCTTATACTGTAGGTGCTATTGTAACAGTGTTTGCACAGTATATGCATTTCTTATTTAGAGATGTTTTATTTTGCTATATTTTTTCTTAAAACTCTGCTGGTGTTTCCCTCTTGGGGTTAAGCAGTGATTATGTTGAATTTTCCCATTATCTCAAATGGTACATGCTTAACAGAAAGGGTTGCATCACCATCACTGACTCAGCGATGCCTGAAGACGGCGCTGCCAAAGCAACAGAGGCAGGATGACTCGCTCAATATGAGGAATTTGGATGACGAAAGCCAATGCAAATGAACGCATATACAATACCCTGTCCATCTATAAATCCATCTTCTACCATTTGTTTGTCAGGGTGACGGGGTCCTGGTGCCAATCTCCAGCAGTCAGCTTGCGAAGGGCTGGATAGACACACAGAAGAAAATAGAACAAATCAACTGCTGGTTAAATATGTAAAGCAACACCAAGACCATTCTGAGACAAGTATTGCAGAAACAAATAATCTCAAGTGAAAATGTCAACATTGATATAGTAGCCCAGAGATCTGGTTTTTAGAGTTTAAATGCAACCAAAGTTGATTATAAGGCTGTGTTAAACTTCAATTATTTTTGAAAACCCAGAGATGGAGCTTGATCCGTTCTGCTCAAAGTTAAGAAAATGTGGCTCTGTTTATTTATATATATATTTTGTTATTATTGATTGATTGGTTGGACAGTTAATGATAAAGAATGGATTATATTGCCACGAATATTCTGGATTTAGCAAAATGCTAATTTCAAATCTTTTATAGCAGCTAATCTGCACAGTGACAGCAACTCTTCTGGTTTTAGCTAGTCTCTAGATCACAGAATTCTATTTTTTGGCTGCGAAAGGGTCTCTGACTTTGACTTTTTTAAGTTTGGAAGCCTAAAAAGCATGATATAGAACCTTTACATTATTATCTAAATACTGAAAGAATGGTTATCGATTAGCCAAAGCTGTTTCTCAACCAGGCTTAAAAATATTCAAATATCATCAATACTATTGCAAACTTGGAAAAACTTGCCACATTGATAATTTTTTGATGTGCATTGTAACCTTATCTATTAGATTAATGTCTAATATGTATAATATGCATTGGCATCACCATGCAGAGTTTTTAAAAATATGCTATACATTTGAGCATTTTCTATTTCAGCAACAGAAGCTATCATGTTCTTTTTATAGCTCCAGTTATGATGCTTTTAATATTCTCAGTGTTCCTTTGTTGTTGTTTTTATCTCCGTCTGTGTTTGGTGTGGCTGGTTTTGCCTGCTAAGGGACTTGAGATGGAAATTAGCTTAGGCTATAAGCTCACATATTTATATTCAGTTCATTAATATACAGCATTGTCCCCTTTTAGAAATAAATACAAAAACATTGAAGTTCATGATCTAAGTAATGACTGCAACCTTCCGGGATCCAAAGAATGGGATACAAACATCTGCCCCCACCTCTGTCTTTGACACCTTAGATGTTTCATTCATGCTGTGTTTGTTTTTTATCAAACATTAAATTTTGCTTCATAGTCAAACATTTTTAACTCATACTCATCTGTCCAGAGGACATTGGCCTAACATTGACTGAAGTCCTAATGTTATAGAGAGGTTGTTTTCTTCTTTTTCTCTTCCAGACAGCCAGACTGGTTCCGACTCATACCATTTAATGTTTAACTTGCTAACGGAGACCTATCAAGTCTGGGATGGAGCTCCTCGGCTTTGATTTACTCCTATAAGTTTCACACTCTGACCCTGGGCTAGATTTGCGGAGACGTCCACTCCTGACACAGTTGACTGCTCTGCCCCCTGCCATTGTCTCTTTAAGGCCCCATCCCACTCTGTATCTGGATACAGTTTGGATGTCTCTCCCTGTAACATTTACTGCACAGGACTCTATTGTCCACAAAGGGCATCCTTCTTCTGAGTTACAGCTACTGTTACATCTCCATCTGCTGGATGGTCAGATGTTTTAGCAGTGCCTGAATAGTTAGGGAAACATCTCTCTAGGTAGTCCTGAAATATCGAAAGGATGTGTCAAACCAGCCCTGCTGTGCTTAAGAACCTAATCAACACAAATATCTGCAGAAATGTTACTCCAGCATCTCAGCAGGAGAGGAGCTGTCACTACCTAATTTGTACAAGAAGCATGATCCATACCATCAGCTCATTTGGGCATGTGCAACCAGGTGTTCATCCACTTCGCCATAGATAACGTAATTACGGCACTAAAAGAACTTTATTTCCTTGAATAATTAAAGAATGCTAAACTACATTGTCCAAAAGTTAGTATTATGCGATTTAGGCTTGTCCGAGGTGATCTAGGGACATGCTCAGAGGAGTCTGGGAAAAAAAAGGATTACTCTGTGTTTACGTGTATTTTAGTTCTATCTTACTTTAGATCATGCAATATATACTATACCATTGCTAAGAAATGTAAACATTAAAACTAAAAATTACTACAATCGATTACTAATCTGAAGCCAAAAAAAAAAATAGGTGTTGAAAGTAGGGTAGGATTTCTTCTTCGGGACAGATGTGGGATATAAAAGAAGGGGTAGAAATGCATTTATTCTCTCAGAAAAGTCTGCATTTACCTTTTTTACATTGTAGATTTTTTTCTGGTGTATTCTGGTTTCTTTTGTGTAAATGAGCTTGGGTCCATTTCACAAAGCAGGTTTGCTGTAAAGGTTTTTTATACTTGAAAAAAAACTTGTTGCAAAAAATTCCCTTACCCATGGAGTATTCGTAGCCTCAAACGTCCGATCCAAATCGCTGTTAGCAGCCATCTTTCCTTGACAAGTGAACTTCTGTAGCAGGAAAAAAGGAAGGAAGCAAGATTCAGTATGTGAGCAAGTGAGCCTGCGAGCCTGCACTCAGGGCAGCAACTTTAGATATTACACATACGAATCCTCTCTACGCATTTGCAGATCTCACCCGACAGGAGTGTTGCAAAAATCACTTGTGTAAAGAGAGCCAAACAAGATACTGCTTGACCTGTAACCAATGATTTGTCTGTATTTTTGGGTGTTGAAGCAAAAATACTTCAGACTTAAGTGTTTCTTTGTGTTTACAGACTGATCTACGCATTTGCAAATCTTAGCACACATTTGTAGATCTGAATACAGATTTGTGGATTTTTTTTTCCTCATTTGCAAATTAGATTTTACACACAAGTTATTTTACACATTTGCAGATTCTTATTAAGACACACAACTCCCTTCACACATTTTCAAATCCCACTACACACAACTCTCTAGACAAGCCCCTTGTTGTCAGGTGGGTAGTCATGAGTCTTTAACAGTTATCCTTGATCACATTTGGAATTTTCTCCTTAAACTTTGATCATAAAACATTTTAAGTAAAGAAATACTTAAATAAGTATTATGATTAAGATTTTCACAAAAAAAAAATCTAAAATACTAGATTTAAGTTTAAATTTGACTGATTATTTTGATGTTTTTAATGTTAGTGCAGCATCTCTCGGTTCACCAGCTTCACTCTGTTCATTCTGACAAGGATCAAGTTTATCATGCTGGAACATGTTGGTCATCGTTGAATATGGATCTCTTCAGTATTGAAACCTCAGGGATTTTTCCCTTCTCTATGTTCTATGAACATCTGTGTAGGAAGTGTATCCCCTGCCTTGGTTCTGGAAGAAAATTACTTGTTCCAGTTTCAACAGCCAGGCCTTTTATCTGAGCAATGAACAGTCTGAAGAGATTCATTTAATAAACGCAGCCTGATATAAGAGTCTGTATTAATATGCTGTTTGAGTAATAATGCTTTATTTATCAGGACAGATTTAAACAACCATCTGGTATCAGCAAGATTTCAAAATAAACGTTTCTTCATTAAACAAAATAAAAGCTCCATCTTTTTTTTGCCTCAGAGCTGGAGCAGCTTAGAAAAAATGCACTGTTGAACTGGTCATCATCAGTGTGAGCTCCTCTATAAGAGCACAGGACTTATTGCAGCTTCCAGGTGGGCATTAGCCTAAAGTCAGGGAGGAGGCTAACAGCCATGACTTAAGAGATGTTGCTGCATATTATTCTAGGAAAGACTATAACACCAATAGTCATTTATCTACAGTATCAACAAGGATGGTCTTCAGAAGTTCACCTTAATAT